CAAAACTGGATTAATGAATAAATAGGTATATCGCTTGATGAGAAGACTAAAAATCACAGTGCTATCGAGTTAATATATAGATTGAACACTATTACATTTTTATTTTTTAAGTCATGACATAAGTTGAATATATATGGAAAACTCATTGTAGAATTTTAAACATGAAAACAACAGTTGTAGTTAATACGAGCTATTTGAAAGAAATTTAAAACAATATAGATTTTAGAACTTAATCCAAGTTTATAAAAGATTTCTAGTTTTTTTTATTTTTGAAAATTTTTGTGGGTACATAGTAGGTGTATGTATTTATAGATTTCTAGGTTTAAAAAATAGGAATTAGAAAACAGTAGAAAGAAAATGTTCCTGGAAAAATCATTAGTAAAGAGAAGAAAAATACTCCATTTTACAATGACCTCCAATGAGAAAAAGGAATTTCATATTTCAAAGAACTGAATTTGAATACTTTTACAGTGTATTGAGTTCTACTGGATGTGTGGTTGATTATATAAACATTTAAGCATATAGAATACATGTAAATATAATTTGTAAAGTTAATGGAATGGTAGAAGCTTTTTGCTGTAAATCTGATAAGGACTTAAAATCCTGATTCTATACTAGGTGTAGCACTTAAATTTTCAAAGAGCTGTTCAAATGCCTTCTATAAACTAATTTAAATTGCATACCAATTATTTCAGGTAAGTATTATCATTACTTCCATTTTACAGATGAATTACAGAAAGGCTAAGTGACTTGTTAAAAGTCTTATAATAAGAATTTGACCCAATTTGGCTCTAGAGTCTGTTCTCTTAGCCACAGTGATATATCACATGTTAAATACAGATGCTCCTCAGCTTATGATATGGTTACATCCCGATAAACCCCATTGTAAATAGAAAATATTGTTAAGTTGAAAATGCACTGAACACTCCGATGGACCTACTGTAAAGCTGAAAAATTGTAAGTTGAACCACTGTAAGTCTAAATGTTCCTCAGTTTATGATGAGGTTACGTTGTATAAATTCATCATAAAGTTGAAACATCAACTTTATGGTAAGTATGTAAGTCAAACTGTTTATTCAAAGTAAATGTAAAATAGTTAAATGTGAACAACCTACAGAATCAATAAAAACCAAATATTTATCATAATAATAAATATAAATTATCTAAATTTACCTGTTAAGAGAAAAATATGAGGTGGATCTATATACCCTGAATTTGAAAGAGCTTTGCGGATGTTTATAAACAAAAGGAGGAATAGCACTGAAAAAAATAATTAGTAGTTACTCTCTTCCATGTTTAAAAAACATCGAAAAGGCCGGGCGCAGTGGCTCACACCTGTAATCCCAGCACTTTGGGAGGCCGAGGCGGGCGGATCACGAGGTCAAGAGATCACGACCATCCTGGCTAACACGGTGAAACCCCATCTCTACTAAAAATACAAAAATTTAGCCGGGCATGGTTGCAGGCACCTGTAGTCCCAGCTACTCGGGAGGCTGAGGCAGGAGAATGGCATGAACCTGGGAGGCGGAGCTGGCAGTGGGCCGAGATCACGCCACTGCACTCTAGCCCGGGCGACAGAGTGAGACTCCGTCTCAAAAAAAAAAGAAAAAATACAAAACACCATAAAACGTGTATGTGTATAAGTGGATAGAACAAGGTATTAAAATATTAACAATGGCGACCAGGTGCAGTGGCTCACACCTGTAATCCTAGCACTTTGAAAGGCTGAGGCAGGTGGATCATTTAAGGTCGGGAGTTCGAAACCAGCCTGGCCAACATGGCAAAACCCTGGCTCTACTAAAAGTACAAAAATTAGCTGGGTGTGCTTTTGTGTGCCTGTAATCCCAGCTACTTAGGAGGCTGAGACGGGAGAATCACTTGAGCCAAGGAGGCAGAGGTTGCATTGAGCCAAGATTGTGCCACTGCACTCCAGCCTGGGTGACAGAGTGAGACTCCCGTCTCAAAAAAAAAAAAAAAAGGCCAATGGGAGGAGACGAAGAAGTGATGAAGAGAAGCTTCTCCACTTTACTCTGTATAAAATTTTTATATTGTCTTAATTCTGCCCAAAATGTGTTACATTACTTTTGTAATTTTTTAAAAAGTATGTGCAGTGGCTTGAATGTGTCCCCCATAGTTCACATGTTGGAAACATAATCCCCAATACAATAGTGTTAGGAGGTGGGTCCTAATAAGAGATGATTCGGTTATGAGGGCTTTATCCTCATGGATGGATTAATATTATTATTTTGGAAGTGAATTAGTTATCTGGAGAGTGGGCTTACTATAAAAGTGAGTTCAATTCTCTGTTGCTTTCTTATCATGTGATACTTCCCCCATGTTATGATGCAACAAGGTCCTCACCAAATGTTTACCCCTCAGCCTTGGACTTCCAGCCTGCAGAATTTTAAGAAATAAATTTCTCTGCTTTACAAATTACCTAGCTGGTGTTACTCTGTTATAGCAACACAAAACAGAGCAAGACAGTATGTGTAGGTAAATAAGTAACATCAACAAGAAAAAGATCAGAAAGAGTAGAATCCAAACTGTTAGCACTAGATATGCCTGAAAAGTAAAATTAAAAGTGATAGGAAGGGGGCCAGGTACAGTGGCTCACGTTTGTAATCCCAGCACTTTGAGAGGCCAAGGCAGACGGATCACCTGAGCTCAGGAGTTCAAGACCAGCCTGGCGAACATGGTGAAACCCCGTCTCTACTGAAAATACAAAAATTAGCTGGGGATAGTGATGGGTGCCTGTAGTCCCAGCCACTCAGGAGGCTGAGACAGGAGAATTGCCTGAATCCAAGGGGCGGAGGTTGCAGTGAGCTTGGGATCCTGCCACTGTACTCCAGCCTGGGCAACAGCAAGACTCCCTCTCAAAAAAAAAAAAAAAAAGTGATTGGAAGGGGATTATTTTCCCCATTTTTACTATACATACCTTCATATTGGTGAATTTAAGAATTTTACAGTGAGCGTTTTTTAATTTAAAAAGAGTATGTAATTATTTTTTCTTTCCTTTCCCTTATATTAATTATCTCTACCTGTGCTTTACCCACTGAGTAGGTAATTTTCAACACATTCACTGGAACATAGTAATGGGTAGATTTCAAGAGGTGTATGATTTTAATGAGATTTGTAATTTAAAGACTTGAGTGCTCCTTGTCATGTAGCTATTGGCTTAAATACATACAGTCTCTAACTTATGATGGTTTGGCTTATGATTGTTTTGACTTTGACCATAAGTTTGTCAAAGTATTAAATGTATATTCCACATACAATTTTTTTTTTACTTACGATGGGTTTATTGGGATGCAGTCCCATTGTAGGTTGAGGAGCATCTGTATTGCCTTTTTGGTACCTCTTCAAAGATTTTTTTAAATTACCAGAAGAGCCCTTTAGTTGTTACCACATTGCCTTGTTTCATTTTAATCATAGTGTTATTATCTTCTACTCTTACTTATTTTGATAGTTAGATGGATTTTTTAAAATTTTTAATTATTTTCCCTCCACTAAAATCTAAGATCAATGAGAACAAGACCATTCCTTTGTCATTTTTGTGGCACAGGGCCTAAAATAATGATTGGAATATAATAAGCAGTTAATAAATATGTGTTGAATGAAAAAAATCATACATAGTCTTACAAGTTCAGGAACTTATTAACCCACCCAGGGATGGTTCATCTATGGTGAACTGCACTTAACACTGGATGAATGATAATTTATAGGACTCTAGTAATTAATACCAGTTTATTTATGTATAGTGGTAGACATAAATATTATAATAACAAAACTGTGTATGCAATACATTTTTTCAAACATTGTTATGTCTAAACCACACATTTATCAAAGAGTCATTGAAGAGCACATGGAAACTGGGAAAAAGAGAGATGGGTGCTTTTAAAAACACTTAATCCTATACTCTGGCTATAGGTTGTCTTGTCTAACAAGTACATTAGCTAGTAAATGTTTCTTCTTGGTACTGAGAATTATAAGAGGCAGTATGAATGACTTGGTTTTGCTGGTCCAACCATTAAAATAACTTAAATGCCAGCCCAATGGATGGTGAGTTACATTCTATACCTAGGCAAACAGAGAATATTAAGTTGGTCTTGCAGGTTATTAAAAAATGAAAAAGTAAAAATAGAAGATAAAACGAATGGTTTCAAAAAAATCTGAAGCAATGGATAAGTACTTCTTAAAGCTCATTGATGGAAATGCAGATTTCCTAAGATCTGAGAAAAAATAAAACAATTGAAAAAGGAAATGCAGATTTTCATTTTTCATTTATCTAAGTAGAGTAAACCCTGAATCTGTGTCAGGTTTCACCCACAAATCAAAATCTTACCATTCAGTTTGACAAGATGGAGGTAGATACTTAAAAATCTTTGGAAATATTTGAGAAGATAGATAAATGGTATGCAAGTAGTAGCAGTGATGATTATTTTTCATTCACTGTAGTATAGTAGAGGAGGGTGTAGTGTCGTAGTTAGATGTTGAGCTGTGTGCCTGGGATTGAATCTTAGCTATGTTTTCCACCAGTTGTGTGACCTTGGTAGTAAATTATCTGTGCCTCAGTTTTCTTGTCTGTATAATTGGGATAATAAATCCTTCCTCAAAATTGTTGGTAGGTTTAATGAGAACCTGTGCATGTGTTTGTAGTTCTTAAAATAGTGGTGTCTGGCAGATAATACACTATCACATATTCCCCTACTATTTTTTTCCAGCAAATAGAGGGTACTTATTTCAGCAACTGTACTGAGGATGGGAAGATCCTACCCTAGAGGAATTCACAGCTTAGTGAAGTTCAAACATATACATCTTCTCTCTTTTCAACCCAGCTCTTTTTTCCCCCAAAATCTTGTATTTTGTTTCCAAAGGAATTAATTCAGGAATTTAGTCTGAATCTTTAATTTTACATGATAGTCAAAGAAATGGTTAGAGAATTGACCTGCTGCCTTGAAAAAAATAAAACATTTTAAAAGCATTTTAATTTTGTTTTATAGATGCTTGTTTGCTACTGATGGGTGTGAGCAAGTTAGATATTCTATACCGGAGACTTCTCCTAACAAAACTTTTTATCAGAGGATGGGGAAGGCCAGAAGATCTCAAAAGGCAAGCAATTTTTTTTCCTGAATACTTGTTCTGAATTTGTTGTTTTAATGAACATTTAAAACTTTGTTATAAAATCCCTTACTCTCAAATACAGAGCAGTTGTCCAGCAAATTAGACATTAAACTATGTAAAATGTAATTATTTCCTTTTTACTTTTGTCTTTTTAGTTATTTCTCTTAAGTTTTAGCCCATATCATAAATTGTACTATTTTAAAAATAATTCAGATTTTTTAAATAGAGAGCTCTCAGAAACACAGGGTAGATTTTTTACTTCAATAATTATTAAGCTAATAAGAATTGTATGTAGTTTTCAAGGATTGAGTCTTCTTGGGTAACCCGAATTTGTAATGACTTTAAAACTGAAATACACTGTAGCTCATAGGAAAATCTGGACTTAAGAAAATGAATTTTCGGCCAGGATTGGTGACTCACTCCTGTAATCCCAGCACTTTGGGAGAGTGATCCCAGCACTGAGGTGGGTGGATCACGAAGTCAGAAGTTCAGACTGACCTGGCCAACATGGTAAAACCGTCTCTACTAAAAATAAAAAAATTGGCCAGGTGCGCTGGCTCACTCTATAATTCCAGCACTTTGGGAGGCCGAGGCAGGCGGATCACGATGTCAGGAGTTGGAGAACAGCCTGGCTAATGTACTGAAATCCCATCTCTACTAAAAATACAAAAAATTAGACGGGCATGGTGGCGGACACCTGTAATCTTAGCTACTCGAGAGGCTGAGGCAGGAGAATCGCTTGAACCCGGGTGGTGGAGGTTGCAGCGAACCGAGATAGCGCTACTGCACACCAGCCAGGGCGACAGTGTGAGACTCTTGTCTCAAAAAAATAAATACAAAAATTAGCCAGGTGTGGTGGCGTATGCCTGTAATCCCAGCTACTTGGGAGGCTGAGGCAGGATTGCTTGAACCCGGGAGGCAGAGGTTGCGGTGAGGTGAGAGCGGTGAGGTGCGATCGCGCCACTGCACTCTAGCCTGGGTGACAAAGCAAGACTCCGTCTCGGGGAAAAAAAAAAAAAGAAAATGAATTTTCAGGATTGGTGCCTTTAATTTTGAGTCTTATATGTATTAATTACTTTCTGAACAATATTATTTCTCACATTTTTCTGAAAAAAGTGTTCAGTTTGGGGAAAAACAGCCTAATCTCTTTCTTTAATGATCAAAATTAAATTTTAATATGGCTTATGAACTGGATTTGCTAATTTTTAATTACTGTTAATCAGTCTCAATTATAATATGCCTAGTAGGTGATATAAAAGATGAATTTTTTCCTTTTTGTCTTCTTTCCCATAATAGACTCTTTGAATTCAGAAAGATGATTGGAAATCGAGAAAGATGCCAGAATCTGGTTTCAAGCGATTATCCAGTACACATTGATAAGGTATTCAAATGAGAGAAAAACAGAAAAAAAGAATAGATTACATATTGGAGTATAACAACAATAAATACTAAAATATGAGTGCAGTATGGATTTTTCATTTCATATTTAAAGAATACTATTTGTGGGCCGGGCGCAGTGGCTCACGCCTGTAATCCCAGCACTTGGGAGGCGGAGGCAGGTGGATCACCTGAGGTTGGGAGTTCCAGACCAGCCTGACCAACGTGGAGAAACCCCGTCTCTACTTTAAAAAAATACAAATTAGCCGGGCATGGTGGCGCATGCCTATAATCCCAGCTACTCAGGAGGCTGAGGCAGGAGAATCACTTGAACCCGGGAGGTGGAGGTTGCAGTGAGCCGAGATCATGCCATCGCACTCCAGCCTGGACGACAAGAGTGAAACTCCGTCTCAAAAATAAACAAATAATACTATCTGTGCACTAACTGAATGTTGTTAATAACTATGTTCATGTATATTTGGGAGCATATGTTTATTACTTGCCTAATGTATAAAGAAGTATTTAGGCTGGATATTTCTGGATCTCATTCTCTGTCTTTAGGCTCAGGAGGGTTAAACTACTCAACGTTACAGAAGAATAGTGAGTATTAAAGGGGAGTAATCTAGTTGGAGAATCAGCACATAAGAAATTATTAGCAAACAACTGTTAAATAACACCAGGAAAAATATTATGGGATACAGTTAATTCCTGAGAGAATGGTAGAAAGAAAAAGCTATAAAATTAGAGAAGACAAGGATGTTTTTGAAATCTTTTTTTTAAAGGAGGCACCTGGTTTTCTGTAAAATATTTCTAGGTTTATGTAATTGCATACTTTGATGTATTGTTGGAGAAGGGATACAAATAGGCAAGCTTCACACATCCCTCACTCCCCTTCAACCAAAGTAACTGTACTTGCATCTCATATGTTTTGGATATCTTTAGATTTCTCTTTTCAAAAGAGTTCGACTGCTAAGAACAAAATTTTATAGATTGAAAACCCCTCCTCTACATCATAGAAGTTCTTTCTGTATCTTCTGAATTAATAACATTTCTCTCTGTACCCTCAAATTTTGCCAAATATTTTTATCCTCTATATTTTTTTCTATTAAAAAATTATAAACTTAAAAAAATTTAAAATGTGCCAAGTTAAAAACAAAATCTCCTTTAATCTCTGCCACTTTCCACTACCTAATTCCATTTCCCTCCCAAGAGTGAATTGCTGTTAAGATTTTGGAATGCATTCTTACTGATCCACTAGCCTTAGTTTTTAAAAACTGAGACAAGGATATCCCAGCACTTTGGGAGGCCGAGGCGAGAGGATCGTGAGGTGAAGAGATTGAGACCACACTGGCCAACATGGTGAAACCCCGTCTCTACTAAAAGAAAAATACAAAAATCAGCTGGGCATGGTGGCGCGCACTTGTAGTTCCAGCTACTCGGGAAGCTGAGGCAGGAGAATCGCTTGAACCCAGGATACGGAGGTTGCAGTGAGCCGAGATTATGCCACAGCACTCCAGCCCGGCGACAGAGCGAGACTCCGTCTCAAAGAAAAAAAAAAAAGCAATGGAGATAAAATTCACCCTTTTACAATATACAATTGAATGGTTTTTAAATTATATTACCAAGATGTGCAGCCATCAACATTGTCACTAATTCTAGAATATTTTCATTGTCCTAGAAAGAAACCCTGTATCCATTAGCTGTCACTTTCCCTTGCCTCTTCCCCCACCTGCTGGCAATCACTAGTGTACCCTCTGTCTCTATGGGTTCTCCTACTGTGGACGTTTCTTATAAATGGAATCATGCAATATGTAAATTTTTATCTGGCTTCTTCACTTAGCATAATGTTTTCAAGGTTCATCCATGTTGTAGCATGTGTCAGTACTTCCTTTTAGTTTTTTTTTTTTTTTTACAGCATCAGAACATTCAAGGAGAACTTAATCCTTTTGTATAGCTAAATAATAATCTATTGTATTGTATACCACAGTTTGCTTATCCATTCATAAATTAATGGACATTTGGGTTGTTTTCACTTTTTGGCTATTATAAATAGTGCTGCTATGAATACTCAAGTATGAGTTTTTGTGTGAATGTGTGTTTTTAGTTCTCTTGTGTATACTGAAGAGTTTAATTATTGGGTCATATGATGATAACTCTAAGTTTTTGACGAACTATCAAACTGTTTTCCAAAGTGACTATACTATTTTATATTCCCACCAGCAGTGAATAAACATTCTGATTTTGCCATATGCACCAACTTTGTACTTGTCCAAGTCATCATAGTGGGTATAAAAGTATTTCCTTGTGGTTTTGACCACGCCCTAATGGCTGTGAGGCTGAACATCTTTTCAAGTGTGAATTGGCCATTTGTATACCTTCTTTGGAGAACTGTCTTTTCAAACCTTTGCTCCTTTTTACATTGAGTTCTCCATCTTTTTATTGTTGGGTTGTATCTTGCTTAATTTTAAAATCCATGTTATGTATAATACGTGTAATTCTGAAATTGTCTTTTCTTACCAAGTTGCCAGCTATCAGAACACTAATTTGTTGCACTATTTTTCCCTTTAACATTAGTTTGTTCTGCTTCCTTTATTAATAATTAATAATGGGCTGGGCGCGGTGGCTCCATCTCAGCACTTCTGGAGGCTGAGGTGGTGGATCATTTGAGGTCAGGAGTTCAAGACCAGGCTGGCCAATGTGGTGAAACCCCGTCTCTACTAAAAATACAAAAATTAGCTGGGCATGGTGGTGCACGCCTCTAATCCCAGCTACTTGGGAGGCGGAGGCAGCAGAATTGCTTGAGCCTAGGAGGCAGAGGTTGCAGTGAACTGAGATCATGCCTCTGTACTCAAGTCTGGGCAATAGAGTGAGACCCTGTCTAAAAAAAAAAAAAATTAATAATGTATTAGTTTGTGCTGCTGCTTTATCAAATAACTTATTCTCGTAAAATACATAAAAGGGTTGAGTGCGATGGCTTATGCCTGTAATCCCAGCACTTGGGGAGGCCGAGGAGCGTGGATCACTTGAGGTCAGAAGTTCGAGACCAGTCTGGCCAACATGGCAAAACCCCATCTCTACTAAAAATACAAAAAAATTAGCCAGGCATGCTGGTACATGCCTGTAGTCCCAGCTACTCAGGAGGCTGAAGCAGGAGAATTACTTGAATCTGGGAGGCAGAGGTTGCAGTGAGCCAAGATAGCACTCACTGCACTCCAGCCTGGGTGACAGAGCAAGACTCAAAAAATAAAAATAAATAAAAATGAATACATAAGAAGAACACTTTAAAACTATACCAATAGGCATAAAAAACTAAATTGGAAAGTTTTTTGGATTAAAAATTCAGTTTTATAGAGATATTATGTCTCCTTAAGCATTTTTTAAAATGTAATGCAATTTCAGTTAAAGTATTGAACATAGAACCTACATCCATAAAAGCATCCTAAAATTATTTTGAGAAAATGCATGAGAATCAAATCAGATCAGGAATACTCTGGAAAGGAAGAGTTGTAAACAAAGACTAGTTCAGTCATATAACAATGAGTATTAAAATGCTACTCTTATAAACACAGCATGATACGGGTGCAGAAATAAAAGATAGGCAAATAAGACCTAATGAAGGATTGAAAATAACTGGCAGAAATATATGGATGTTTAGTACATAGTAATAGTAGTGTTTTAAGTCAGTTGCAAAAATATGTGGGTCATTTAATAGATGACATTTGTCCAGCTGATTTCAAAAAAAATTTTTTTTTTTTTTGTAAACAAAACAAAATGTTGTTTTGTTTTGAGACAAGGTCTCACTCTGTCACCCAGCTGCACTGCAGTGGTGCAGTCATTGATCCTCCCACCTCAGCCTCCCACGTAGCTGGGACCACAGCCACATGCCACCACATTCAGCTAATTTTTGTATTTTTTTGTAGAGACAAAGTTTTTGCCATATTGCTCAGGCTGATCTTGAATTCCTGGGCTCGAGAGATCTGCCCACCTCGGCCTCCCAGAGTACTGGGATTACAGGTGTGAGTCACTGCACCTGACCTAGAATTTGTTTTTTAAAAAACTAGCTTGTCCCGGGTGCAGTGGCTCACACTTGTAATCCTAGCACTTTGGGAGTCCGAGATGGGTGGATCATGTGAGCTCAGGAGTTTGAGACCAGCCTGGTGGTTTTTAATATGGTGAAACCCCGTCTCTACTAAAAATAAAAAAAATTAGCCGGGCATAGTGATGTGCGCCTGTAATCCCAACTACTCGAGAGGCTGAGGCAGGAGAATCGCTTGAACCCGGGGGGCGGAGGTTGCAGTGAGCCGAGATCGCGCCAGCACACTCCAGCCTGGACAACAAAGTAAGATTCTGTTTCAAAACAAAAAAAGCTAGCTTGTAATCCTAGCACTTTGGGAGGCCAAGTCGGGCAGATTGTAGCACTGTTCATAGTAGCCAAGATGCAGATTGCTTGACAAGCTAGTTTTTTAAAAAACAAATTCTAGGTCAGGTGCAGTGACTCACACCTGTAATCCCAGTACTCTGGGAGGCCGAGGTGGGCAGATCTCTCGAGCCCAGGAGTTTGACACCATCCTGGGCGACATGGCAAAACCCTGTCTTTACCAAAAAAATGTAAAAATTAGCTGGGTGTGGTGGTATGCCTGTAGTCCCAGCTACTCTGGAGGCTGAAGTGGGAGGACTGCTTGAACCCTGGGAGGTGAAGCATACAGTGAGCCAGGATGGCAGCACTGTACTCCAGCCTGGGTGACAGAGTGAGACCCCATTTCCCCAAAAATTAACTAATTAGTTAATTAATTTTTTAAAAAGTTAGATATATACATCATCCACAGATACGTTTTTGTTTCTGATTTGAATGAAAATATGTGGTAATTCAATGCTACTTTAATTTTTTTACTATTGACCTGAAATTTTTAAGAAATAATTAGGCCAGGCACAATGGCTCATGCCTTAATACCCAACACTTTGGGAGGCTTGAGGCCGGGCGTTCCAGACTAGCCTGAGCAACATAGTGAGATCCTGTCTCTACAAAAAGAAAATGCTTATTGGAGGGGAAAATAAGTTTAGGTGTTGAATGTTAGCAAATGCTTTTTTTATATATATAGAAATTACGTTTTTTTCTTAGTTACTATGTTGACATGACTCTACATCAGATTGCCAGACCCTGAACCATTGTAATATATTTGATGTCAACCCTTATTTGATTATGGTAACTTATTTTTGAAATTTGTAAACAATTATTTTTATACTGTTGAATGTTGTTGAATTCTCTTAACTAGTAGTTTATTTTGAGTTATTGCATGTCAGTGTATGAATGTGATTTATTTATAGTTTATTTTCTCAACTAGATTATAGTAAAGGATATGGAAGGAAAAGAAATGTGTATAGGCAGGAACCATGTCTTTAAAAACCACAGTGGTCCACAGAATCGGAGAAAATGTTTACAAACTACTCATCTGACAGGGAATTAAGAACCAGAATATAAGGAGCTCAAATAAATTAATAGGGAAAAATCATAATCTGATTTTAAAATGGGTAAAAGATCTGAATAGACATTTTACATTTTTCTTTTGTTTTTTTGAAACGGAGTCTTGCTGTGTTGCCAGGCTGGGGTGTAGTGGCTCGATGTTGGCTCACTGCAACCTCTGCCTCCTGGGTTCAAGTGATTCTCCTGCCTCAGCCTCCTGAGTAGCTGGAACTATAGGCGCACACCATCACGTCTGGCTAATTTTTTGTATTTTAGTAGAGACAGGGTTTCACCATGTTGGTAAGGCTGGTCTCGAACTCCTGACCTCAGGTGATCCGCCTGCCTTGGCCTCCCAAAGTGCTGGGATTACAGGCGTGAGACACCGCGCCTGGCCGACATTTCACATTTTTCAAAAGAAGACATACACATGGCCAACCATGTATATGAAAAAATGCTCAGCATCACTAATCATCAGAGAAATGCAAATCAAAATTACAGTGATATATCATTTACCCTAGTTAAAATGGCTTTTATTCAAAAGACAGGCAATAATAAAAGCTGGTGAGGATGTAGAGAAAGAGGAAGAGGAAACTTCGTTCACTGTTGGTGGGAATGTAAGTTAGTATGACCACTGTGGAGAACAGTATGGAACTTCCTCAAAAGCTAAAACTGGAACTACCGTATGACCCAGCAATCCCCCCACTGGGTATATATGAAAAAGAGAGGAAATCACTGTATCAAAGAGATATGAGCACTTCCATGTTTATTGTAGCACTGTTCATAGTAGCCAAGATGCAGAATCAACCTAAGTGTTCACCAGCAGATGAATGGATAAAGAAAATGTACAAATATGCAGTGAAATATTATTCAATCATAAGCAAGCATGAAATCTTGTCATTTGCAACAGCATGGATGGAACTGAAGGACATTGTGTTAAGTAAATTAAACCAGTCACAGAAGGACAAATTTCATGTGTTTTCACTCATACATGGGAGCTAAATATTTTTGAAAATTGAACTCATGGAGATGAAGAGTAGATTGATGATTATCAGAGGTTAAGAAAAGTAGCAGGGAAGGGAAGATAGAATGGAGATGATTAACGGGTGCAAATGTACAGTTAGAATCAATAAGATCTAGTATTTGATAGCATAATAGAGTCACTATAATTAACAATAATTTATTGTATATTTTGAAATAAGAGTGAAATTGGAATGTTCCTAACACAAGGAAATGATAGGTGCTTCAGATGATGGATACCCCAATTGCCCTGATTTGATCATTACAACTTGTATGCTGGTATCAAAACATCACATGTACCCTATAATACACTCAATGATTATGCACATAGAATAATTAATAATAAAGTACAGTGGCACAAAAAGTTTACATGGTAGGTGCTGAAAACATGATTTTAATTGAATAGAACTTTTTATTAGAAGAACATCCATGATAGACCAAGATATCTTAGTTTTCTTGCATACATCTTGGTTTTGATTTTCTTTTAGATTGAAGAGCAATCAGATTGTAAGATCTTAGATGGACACTTTGTTTCCCCTATGGCTCACTATGTGCCTGATATCATGCCAATTGAATCTGTTATTGCAAGGTAAGAATTTTTTGTTCAAAAAGATGAATTAATATGTTATTTATGTTCATTAAAATTATAATGTCAACACTATGTTATTTGAAATTAGGAGTAACAAGGCAGGCCTAAATTATTGAAAAGGCTGAATTAGAAGATATTTTAATTCAAGGATATTCATCGAAGCATTGTTTATAGTTGCAAAAAATAGACAATGCCTAAATGTTCAACAGTAGGTGATTAATTATCCATACTGTGGGTACCATTAGTGACAAGGAAATATGGTCACAATGTGTGAAAGTTTAAGAAGATAATACAAAGGATTTTTTAGTTCCATTTTTGTAAATACATAAGTATGCACACATAATCACACAGAAGTTTCCAAAGGATATATATGAATATACAAACTCTGCTTATCTCTGAGTGGAGAGATTTTTGGCTTTTAAATTTTTAGTTTCAGGTCAGGCATGGTGACTTATGCCTGTAGTCCCAGCACTTTGGGAGGCCAAGGCAGTTGGATCACTTGAGTTCAGGAGTTCTAGACCAGCCTTGCCAACATGGCGAAACCCCATCTCTACTAAAAATACAAAAAATTAGCCAGGTGTGGTGGCAGACACCTGTAATCCCAGCTACCTGGGAGGCTGAGGCAGGAGAATTGATTGAACCCAGGAGACGGAGGTTGCAATAAGCCAAGATTGTGCCACTGCACTCCAGCCTGGGCCACAGAGTGAGACACTCTCTCAAAAAAAAAAAAAAAAAATACCATGTACATGTGTTGATTTTATAACAGGAAGAAGTACTTTTAAGTGAAGAAACTAAAAAACATGTGGTAACTTAGACTAGACAGACTACATAGTTCAGCTAAGTAAAGCACCTCAGGATTGGTATGTAATTAGCATGTCAGTTTGACAATGTAAATAGATATTCTGAAATACCTGAGGTTCCTAAGTGGTTAATTATACAATAGTTGAAAACTGGCTTTTTGGATCTTTGTTAGAGTACAGAGGTTATTCTTAGCTCAGTCTTGTTAGTGGTTTTTTTGTTTGTTTGTTTGTTTGTTGAGACAGAGTCTTCCTCTGTTTCCCAGGCTGGATGGAGTGCAGTGCTGCCCACTGTACGCTCTGCCTTTCAGGTTCAAGCAATTTTCATGTCTCAGCTGCCTGAGTAGCTGGGATTATGAGCGTGTGCCACCATACCCGGCTAATTTTTTTATTTTTAGTACAGACGGGCTTTTGCCATGTCGGCCAGGCTGTTCTCAACCGCCTGGTCTCAAGGGATCCACCTGCCTCGCCTCCCAAAGTGCTGGGATTACAGGTATGAGCCACCACGCTCAGCCACTGTTAATGGTTTGTGTTTTGTTTTGTTTTGGGGATGGAATCTCACTCTGTCTCCCAGGCTAGAGACAGAGTCTCCAGAGTCTCGCTCTTTTGCCCAGGCTAGATGGAGAGCAGTGGTGCTCACTGCAGCCTCCACCTCCTGGGTTCAAGTGATTCTCCTGCCTCAGCCTCCGGAGTAGCTGGGATTATAGGCACCTGCCACTACACCCGGCTAATTTTTGTATTTTTAGTAGAGACAGAGTTTCAACATGTTGGGCAGGCTGGTCTCGAACTCCTGACCTCAAATGATCTGCCCACCTCAGCCTCCCAAGTGCTGGGATTACAGGAGTGAGCCACTGTGCATGGCTTGATAATGAGTTTTTTAAGTAGTTTTTAATTCTAAATCAGTGTTGAACCTAGATCTTTACACAGTTCTCTATTTTATAACTAATTTTATTTAAAAAGAACAAAATACTGTACTTTTTTCCCCTACATTGTTGATAATAAACTATTTGCTGTTTCTGGTTAGTAGGTGTTTTCTCCTTTTAAGATTTTGTCTGCAATAGCAATGATAAAATAGTGATACATGTATGGTCGTTTGAAAAATTCTTCAGTCAAGAAGAGATTATTCTGTAATGGAAACCTACTTAACCTTTTAACCAACCCTGTAAATGAACCTATAAAGTGTAAACTAACTGAAGAGCAGTTTGATAGACCTGATTAGAAGTTGTAGTCAGCTGTCCATTATTTTGTTACCCCTAAGGCATTATTTTAAATTTATATTTTTTTCTGTTGATAGCCTCTGAATGAAAGGCAAGCAATGTCATGTAGTGGAAAGAGCTAGAACTTTGGAATTAAACAGATCTGGGATCGAACCCTGAGTCTACTACTTATGGACCTAATGTCAATTACTTAATCTCTGAACCAGGCTTTATAAAGTAGGACTAATAACACTTAATCTCGTAGGGTTGTTGAAAGTAATAAATAAGGAATGAGGCCAAGCACGGTGGCTCACACCTGTAATCCCAGCAGTTTGGGAGGCCAAGGCGGGCGGATCACCTGACATCAGGAGTTTGAGACCAGCCTGGCCAACATAGTGAAACCCCATCTCTACTAAAAATACAAAAAAATTTAGCCAGGCATGGTGGCAGACATCTGTAATCCCAGCTACTCGGGACACTGAGGCAGGAGAATCACTTGAACCTGGGAGGCCGAGGTTGCAGTGAGCTGAGATCACGCCATTGGACTCCAGGCTAGGTGACAAGAGTGAAACACCATCTTAAAAAAAAAAAGGAATGAAAATAGTGTGCAGGGAATATAAAAAACATAAACGTGTAGCTAGTTTATGTATTTATTTATTTGTTTGACAGAGTCTTGCTTTGTCAGTCAGGCTAGGATGCAGTGGTGCTATCTTGGCTCACTGCACCCTCAACCTCCCTGACTCAAGTGATCCTCTCACCTCCGCCTCCTGAGTAGCTAGGACTGTAGACTGATGTCACTAGACCTGGCTAATTTTTTTTTAAGTTTTTTTGTAGAGATAGGGGTCTCACTACATTGTCCAGGCTGATCTCAAATTCCTGGGCTCAAGTGATCCTCCTGCCTTTGCTCCCCAGAGTGCTGAGATTACAGACTTGAGCCACTGCACCCAGCCTTAACTGTTTTAGATATGCTTTGTCTTATTAATGCTTTATTAAAAGCGTTAAGTCAACCTGGGCAACATAGAAAGACACTGTCTCTACAAAAAAAAATAGAAAATAAATTTTCTGGCCATGATGGTATGTGCCTCTAGTCTTACCTACTCAGGAGGCTAAGGCTGAAGATTGCCTGATCGAGGTTAGAGTGAGCTATAATTGTACCACTGCACCCCAGCGTGGGTGACAGAGCATGACCCTGTGTCAAAAAAAAAAAAAAATTTTTTTTAAAGCATAAGTGAATGTGTAGCTCTTTAGCCTGTAGGCCAAAGGATATAGAAGGAAAAGAAACTTTCAGTTTTTACATATCATCACTTCAATCCCTGGAACTACGTGTCCCTTTCTCATAGATTCTCCACCTTATCTGGACAGTTATACAAGCTATAAAACATAAAGAAAGGAGGAAAATTATGTGATTTTACTCAGACTCAGAAGTACTCCTCAACATCTGTTGGAAATTGAGGAAGGGTTCTTTCCAGTTAGTGACAGGAATGGGGAAACAAGTTGACTTCCTGTCTCTGCAGTGTCATATTTTTACAACATAATTAATATTTTTTTCAACAATTTCTAGTCAGATTTAAAGCATAACTTATTTTGATGAAAGACTATAAATTCCCAGGTGATGCACATTGACATCTACTTTTCGTTTCTTTCCCCCTGTCATTCTTGTGCAGCAATTTATCTCATTGCATTAAAACATTAGAAAATGCAAATAAGAAAAAAGAAAAAAAAATCATTGGTAATTCCACCAATGAGTGATAACCACTATTTTATGTATATTCTAATCTTTCTCCTATGTGTTCACATACAACTGGACTTACTCTTTTTTTGACCTAATTAATCAATGAATACGCAGTTGGTTATCATTAATGGCTGTTTGGTATTCCATACTGTGGCTCTACCATAATTTACTAATTCCTTAATGGTGCACATTTAAGTTGCATTGTTTTTCACTATTATAAACATCACAATGAACATCCTTATGTACATCTCCTTACCTGCTTCTCTGATTATTTTTGTGCCGTAAGTTGCTAAACATGGAATTTCTGTATTTATAAGATTTGTGCAGATTTTAAACTTTTGATTATATTGTCAAATAAGTAGGAAAAACTTAAGGCTATGCCACATATAGATTAATCCACAGGGGGAAACCTATTTGTCCTATTATCATTTGGTCCATTACTCATGATTCTGTCTCTTTTTCACACTTTCTGTTTTTATTGAGGTAGAGAAAAATATATCAGGTAAATGAAATAAGGAAACTGCAAGCATTCTTTTCTCTTAAAAGAACAGTTTAAAGACTGCTAAAGATCTGTGGTGACAGGATTTATAGATCACAAATTATAGATTTCCCTATGTAATGTAAAATAGCTCATGAAATTGTGATGTATCTTCTGGACAGCCTATATTAGAAATGTACTTATGTCAAAATTCCAAATGAACTATAATATTTTAAAACATAGCATTCAGGCCAGATGTGGTGGCTCTGGGAGGCCTATAATCCCAGCGCTTTGGGAGGCCGAGGCGGGCAGATCACCTTGAGGTCAGGAGTTCGAGACCAGTTTGGCCAACATGGTGAAATCCTGTCTCTACAAAAATTAGCCAGGCATGATGGCGGGTGCCTGTAATCCAAACTACTCGGGAGGCTGAGACAGGAGAATTGCTTGAACCAGGAAGACGAAGGTTGCAGTGAGCTGAGATCATGCCATTGCACTCCAGCCTGGGTGACAGAGCAAAAATTCTGTCTCAAAACAAAACAAAAAGAAAACGTCCATTTGAGCAACCTTAAATAATTTTATGGTAACATGGCATAATTTAGTATTCAAATATTACCCAAGATTGAATTGTAATAAAAGTTCAGGAAAATTTAATATTTATCTTCTGGTAAAATATTAATATTCCTTTGAGGATAGTTTATATGTCTTCTATACGATTTTCATTTCTCAGCATCAGAGGTAAAAAATATTTTTCACATAATTGGGTTTAGGTTCCTCAAATATTTAGGGATAAAACACTC